TGAGCAGGGCCAGGTGTGTCCGTGAGCAGGGCAGGTGTGTCCGTGAGCAGGGCCAGGTGTGTCCGTGAGCAGGAGCAGGTATTTCCATGAGCAGGGCCAGGTGTGTGTGTGAGCAGGGCCAGGTGTGTCCATGAATAAGAGCAGGTATGTGTGAGCAGGGCCAGGTGTGCCTGTGAACAGGAGCAGGTGTATCCGTGAGAAGGAGCAGGTGTGTCCGTGAGAAGGAGCAGGTGTGTCCGTGAGAAGGAGCAGGTGTGTCCGTGAGCAGGGCAGGTGTGCCCGTGAGCAAGGCCAGGTGTGCGTGTGAACAGGAGCAGGTGTGTCCGTGAGAAGGAGCAGGTGTGTCCGTGAGCAGGGCAGGTGTGTCCGTGAGCAGGGCCAGGTGTGTCCGTGAGCAGGGCAGGTGTGTCCGTGAGCAGGGCAGGTGTCTGAGCAGGGCCAGGTGTGTCCGTGAGCAGGGCAGGTGTGTCTGAGCAGGGCCAGGTGTGCCCGTGAGCAGGGCAGGTGTGCCCGTGAGCAGGGCAGGTGTGTCTGTGAGCAGGGCCCGTGAAGAACTGCCCTTTGATAGATTCGGGGACCAGGGATGGCGTGCAGAGTAGGGTAAGGTGGGGGCCGGCAGGAGGCATGTGTCTGGGAACCCGGACAGGCCACAGGGAACCCAGAGCCCCGTCCCCCAGCCTCCGCATGTTGCTGTCTCCCGTCACTCTCCCTGGGGGCGCGTGAGCCCCTCCTCTGGCCCCGTCTCCCTGGGAACCTGTGGTGGACGCAGCAGTTCAGACCCGCCTCCCAGGGACCCTCTCCGGGAAATGCCAGCCCCTTCTCCCCGCCCACCTGCCCCTGGGCCCTGCTCTGAGAGGTGGGAGGGCCCACCAGCGTGGCCCCTGAGTCCCAGAGCACATTCCCAGGCTCTGTCCTGATCCCGAGACTCCAAACCTTCTGAAACTCCACATCCGTGTCCTTGAAGGGAGCCCAACGCTGCCCAGGTCACACACAAGGGTCCTGCACTGGCGGCTCCCCATGCCGCGTGGGTGCAGTGCGAGTCCAGGCCTCTGAAACAGTGGGAACCAGTGTCCTCCTCAGGGACACCCTGCGGCCCTGAACCCCAAAGAGACAAACGATCCTTGCTAGATAACCAGGCTGGGGTGCCCTGAAACCTTGGGACCTGCAGAGGTCCCTGGAGAATTCCCTATTTGCGTGCGGGGGCAGGGCCGCAGAGGCTGGCAGGCCTGGGTGGGGAGGCTGCTCCCCCCACCAAGCCCCTCGGCTCCGGCTCCCAGCAGCGCCCCACCCACGAGAGGCAGGATCTTGTTCTGGGTTCTTGGGTTAACATCTTCCGCTAAAGGCACGGCGCCAGCCCCTCTGGGTGCACTGGGGTCTGCGTGGGACACGCTGTGCTGCAAGCAGGATTGAGAAACAGGCCCTGGGCCCCTGTCATACACCACAGGCCCTGCAGAGGGACAGGGCTTCTGCGGCCGGGTGCATCAGAGGGAAGCTTCTGGAAGCCGCTCCGGCTCTCGTTGTGCCCCTGCTCAGTGTCCCTGCTCTTCACTCCCACGTCCTCTGAGTCTTTACGCCTGGACCCAGGCCAGCGAAAGCTCTAGGTGCTGAAGCCCCGGGGATGGTCACTGGGCCCACCGATGGGACTCCGGGGCCCAGGGTCCAGACTGAGATCCCATTCTGTGCAAGAACCCTCGAGGGACCTGGCCACACAGATATAAAGCAGGACCCTGCTCAGACCTCGTGGGCCGCCAGGAGTGCAGCTGCGGACGGGGCTGAGCGAGGGCACCACGAGCTGGCCCGGCTGCGGCAGCACCTTACCAGAGGCCGCCAGACTCTCAGCGACAACGCAGAGAGAGCGAACAAAACGTGCAGAGAGAAGAGAAAGACAGCAAGACACACCACTCCCTGCTCCTCTGAGGCTTCCGGGCAGGCCGTGTGGGCTGTGGCGGGCAGAGGCACCGAGGCGCCCCAGGCTGGCACCTTCCAGAACACTCCATGCAGCTCACCTCCCTGCTCTCTGCCTTTCACCAGGGCCCAGAGCCCACCTGGAGGCTTGGGCCCCGGCATCGGGGTCCGGAGGTGCAGTGCCCTTGCTGCTGCCCCTGGGGGAACAAAGGCCACGGGCAGCCCGCAGACCCCCTGAGGCGGCCAGGTGCCATGCCTGCCGGTTCAGCTCCATCCCCGAGTGCACTTGAGCACCACACGGCCTTTGGCAGTCGTTCATGGCTTTTCTCATAACGTGCCCCCCCCCCCCCCGTGGCCGCCTCGGACACTCGATGTGAATGACCACTCGGCCCAGCCGAGGGCCGCTCCAGGCAGTGAGAGCCTCCCGGGCGGACAAAGCAGGCTTTCTGAGCTGCGCACTCCCGAGAAACACCCGGCCGGCCAGGAATCCCACCCTCCACGGGACACGGCCCCAGTGAGAGGGCTGGCGTGAGCTCGGCTGTGTGAGCAGGACGTGGCTCGGGTCCCAGATCCCACAGCCTAGGGTCACTGGCCCCAGCAGGTCCCCGGGGGCCAGGATGTGCAGGCGCTGAGGCCAGGCCATCCGGCGTTCCCACTCACATCCAACTGAGTTCTCTCCAAGGAGAAAAACAAGCGGAGCACTGAGCTGGTGTCCTGTCTGCTCCCTGAATATCCCCGGGGTCACGGACCCGTCCTGCACTGTCCTGCAGCAAGGTCACCCTGGGAGCCCCAGCCTCTGACCTGGGGAGCTGCACCCAGCTGGACAGGCCTAGGGGCAGCCAGCACAGGAGAGTGGGCAGGACAGGGCCTGGGGGGGCAGGATGGGGCTGGGGGGCAGGATGGGCTTGGGGGGGCAGAATGGGGCTTGTGGGGCAGGATGGGGGTAGGGGGGCAGGATGGGGCTAGGGGGGCAGGATGGGGTTGGGGGGGCAGGATGGGGTTGGGGGGGCAGGATGGGGTTTAGGGGGGCAGGATGGGGTTTGGGGGCAGGATGGGGTTTGGGGGCAGGATGGGGTTTGGGGGCAGGATGGGGCTTGGGGAGCAGGATGGGGTTGAGGGAGGCAGGGTGGGGTTTGGGGGCCCAGGACGGGGTTTGGGGGCGGGCAGCCAGCACAGGGCCCAGGACAGGCTGTGTGCTCTCCAAAAGATGACTTCGTGGGGCAGGAATCTTTGCAGTAGGGAAGCTGAAGAAGGCAGGGGCATCTTCAACCCCCCACCTACCTTGAGGGCTTCTGGGTCACTCTCCCTGGCCCCTTGATAGCAGGACATTCTCCCGTCACCATGAAGCCAGGGATTTTGGGGGGACCCACTTCCCTCAGAGAGTCTCAAAAGGAATCCAAAACTGCAGCCAGGGGTGTGAAGTGAACCAAGTCTGCATGTGGATCTCAGAAAATGAAGGGTATGGGGACCAAGGGACAGCCGCAAAGGGCACCAGGGCACACCCCCAATCCTGAGAGAAGGCCCCAGAACCAAGGACAGTGGAATTGTGGGAGCGCAGCGTGGAAGCACGGCCTAGGGCACCAGCAAGGATGGAGGAGTGTGGGGCTCGGCCCACCGGGGCCCCAGGGCCAGGAGGTCCTCAGAGGAGCTCAGGGCACCCTGGCTCCGAGATGGCGGCCCAGGCACAAGAAGGGACTCGATACCCGTGGCTCATTGTCTGGGCCACGCTTTCTCTGAGACCTGTCCTAAGCTGCTCTCCCCACGGGGCCCCCCCGCACAAGGCCCCACCATGACACGGAAAACACCAAAGCCCCAAGCATGTGGGTGCCGCATCTCGCACGCTTCACACTCTGGTCTTGGCAGGCGGGCTGAGCCGGAGGAGACTTCAGGCTCCCGGACAGATGCCCCTGTGCAGGGGGTGCCTACGGGTTGCACAAGGACACGGGTGGAAACTTTTAGCAGCTCAGCTGCCCAGCACACTGCTGAGCCCCACAAGTGCCCGGCCAGGGGTCTCTGTTAGCACCTGCAGGCAGCCTGGGGGTCAAATGTGCTCCCTCTGCAGGGGACAAGTGTAGCGGGGTGAGAGGCGGTCCCAAGAAAGGCACGGCCACGTCCTGACCCCCAGAACCTGTGAATGTGACCTTGTTTGGAGAAAGGATCTTGGCAAGTGTCATCAGGCTGAAGACCTCAAGGCAGGGTCTGATTTGCCTGGAGGCCCTGAACCCAATGACAAGTGTTCTTGGAAGACAGAGACACAGATATGGGGGAGCTCACGTGATGACGGAGCCACAGCCCTAGAACCCCGGGATCTGGAAGAGGCAAGAAGGATCCTCCCCAAGACCCTCTGGAGGGAGCGAGACCCTCCCCCACCTGGACCCCAAGCCTCCGGCCCTAGAAAGGATAAGGTTCAGTGTGTTAAGCCGCCGTTTTGTGGCCCTTTGTCACAGTGGCCTCGGAGCGCTCAGGGGCCCAGAGAGACCAGAGGAGGGGCATCCTCCACAGAACAGCGCGTGGGGGACAGAAGCCAGGCGCGGCGGCCCAGAGGGCCCAGAGGGTCAGGCGGGGCTGGGTTCCGGGGGCCCCTGGAGGATGGGCTCCGAGGGCAGAAGTGCCGTATGACAGCTGCCTGCTGGGACTCTCGCTTGGTCTCAAGCTTATGGCACAGGCGGAGGAAGAGGCGGCTCACACAAGCCGGCTGGTTTGGGGATGGCTTCCAGTGGGTGCAGAGCAGGCGCCCGTGCCTGCACAGCCCTGCCGCAGGGGCGAGGCGGCCGGGCCCCGGCCTCGGGGGGAGCCAGAGTCTGCTCACACCGCAGGCAGACCCCAGAAGCTGGCCATGGATACAAAAACTTTTCTTCACGATCCTAGACAAAACGTGAACCAACGGAACCCGGTCACAGATGCAAAGCATCAACACTTTGCAGTCATGTTGGGGCGGGGCCGGGAGCGCAAGGCCGGCTCCGCGGCGAGTCGGTCAGCGCCGCCGCCACACTGCCGCCGCCTCCACGGACGCGGGGGAAGCATCCGAAGGAAGTCAGCACCTACGCATCAAGCAAATTCTTGGTAAATCAAAAAAGAGGAAAACTCCTTCATCTGAGAAAAAGGGTGACCTGCAAAAAACTGAAAAAAGTCGCCACACTTACAACGAAACATTGAAAGTGTTTGTTTTTAAGTTGGAGCAAGTATGGTATTCCATGTCAGTACAGAAAAACAAGAAAAGGAAATGAAGATATAAAAAGTGTCAGGAGAAAAAAAAACTCATTATCTGCAGTTTGTAGGGTTGTACACACGCCAAACTGAAGGAATCCCAGGACAATGATTAGAATAAGTAAGTGAGTCTAGTGGTGTTTCTGGATACATGGTCAACACGTGAAGGGCCATTTCATTTCCATGTAACAGCAGAGACACACAGTAAAAAGCATTTAGAAATGCAACATTTAAAATACGAAGAAATGCAAATTCCTAGGAACACAGCTCATAAAGGACGCACAAGACCATCGACACAGAAAACTCAACCACTGCAGGAAACGAAAGATCCAAATGATAACATATAAACACGGTTTGGAATCTACATACAGAAAGACGTCAACTGTCCCTAAATTCAACCATAGTTTTAGTTTAATCTGGATAAAAACTCCAACAATTTTCGTGTCTGGCGTCTAGAAGCACTGAGCTGATGTATGGGGGCGAAGGGCTGTGAACACACAGTGATCTTAAAAGAAGAACAAGGTTTGCTCCGTGGGCATGAGACTCCAGATAAAGGTCCAGAAGCGAAGACCTCTGGTGCAGGGACAGAATCACCAGTGGGACGCCAGACCCAAGCACATGTGCACACGCGTGTGACGAGGTGGCCCCTGCACACAACGGGAGGAGCAGGTTTGCAATAAATGGCAGCGGGCGGAACAGAAGCGCACAGGACGCGGGGACGCCGCCCTTCGGGCCTCGGGGAACCGACGTCGGAAAGGCAACATCACTACTCAGGAAGGTGAGGGCCGAGGGTACCTGACCTTCTCGGGGTAGGGAAGGGTCCGCTGCACAGGACTCATGCAGCAAATATAGGCTTGTCTCCAGAACCTGTAAAGGACCCTACAACTCAACGAGAAGAAGAAAGCAAGTCCAGAGAAACAAGCAGGGGCCCT